AATGTTTAAATATTTCTTTTATTATTTCATTATTTAAGTTTTAAAGTTTTATTTTAGTTTTGTTATAATCTCTCACATATTTGTAATATTATGTTTATAATCTCTTACACGTTATAATGTTATGTTGATGATTTCTTACATGTTTGTAATGTCATATTTATAGTTTGGATCTCTCACACGTTGTAATGTCATATTGTTAGAATGATTTAATAAATTGAATATATAATATTTTACTTGTCTATAAATCATCGTTGTAATTATTAAATACATATTAATTTATAAGAAGATTTCTTAAGTCACTTTTTAGCTGACTAGTAATTTATTGAATACACGTTATCATCCTTTAGTTATTTATCTTATCTCTCCCACCTAACTTGAAACACGTGTTGAGCATGTAAAAAGATATAAAATTTTTGAAATCCAAGTAAAATGATGACAATACTTTTTCAGATAAATAATTATGAACAGAAATAGTATTAATAATAATTTGTAAAGAATATATTATTAAACTTAAATCTTTTAAATAAATATTATTTTATTATTAATATTACTCAGTTTGGTAAAATTATTTACTAGTACCATAAAGTACTTGTGTAGTATTTCTCTTGTAAAAATTTGAATTACAATTTAGTCCAATTTTTTTTTAGTAAATCCAATTATTTTTTCCGCAAATAATTAAATTTAGATTTTACTATGTGATTTTTTAAATTTTCTATAAATAAAGATACTATACAGAGCGCTTTACGATATTCTTAATGATTGTAATAGGTTATTAATATTTAAATTCTAAACATCATAAACTAATTATTTGAATTATATTAAATAATATTAAATATTAATCTTACTAATTGTTCAATTTAGTTGATTATTCATCTTTCATAAAACTTGTTAGAAACTAGAATATTATTGTAACTTCACTTACAAAAATTTTCTAAATAATACTTAATAAGAAACTAAATATTTAAAGAATTTGAATTTTTAAGTTGTTACTTTTTTCAAATTATTTTCCAATGAAATTCTAAACTTTAGTAATAAATATAAAAATTTTTAACGTTGATATTTTCTATTTAATATCAAGAAAATCCTTGAATCCATACCCTCACAAAATGACGAATGAATGAATGGATAAATGAATGGATAAATGAATGAATGAATGAAAAATGTAAATAAATCAATCTAATTATCTAAATTAAACTATTCTATAATTTCCAAGTCGCTCTTTCTATTCTTAGCGTGAATGTCACGATACTGATTCCAAATGTTATAAAGTTCTTCAATATATCGTTTTTGAATTGATAAAATCTCTTCTTCTGTAGGATTATCATTTTGTTTGACTTCAATCGGCTTACCAACTATATATTTTCAAAAAGACACGCAAATTATAAATTAAATTTACTCAAATTGAATAAAATAAAAATCAAAAAATTGTTATATGTATAAACTTCCTACCAATTGTCACTAGAGGTCTTCTATGTGGCATCACACCAATATCATCTATTAAAATATAACAAATATAGTAAATATTATAAGTTATAATTGAGTTTGATATTGTAAATATGAATTTGTCACTACTTACAGATAAATATGCCACGACCATGAAATAATGGAAGAGTGAATCCCAAAAGTTTTTTCATGTGTTTTTGCAATTTCCAAACTGAAGTTCCTTCATCATTTGGAACTTGTTCCCATAGATCATTCTCGCCAAAGGAGAAAATAGGACAAAGTGAGGCACTTCATATATAGTTCAAATAGATGAAGAAATGAATCAAATTTGAAATATAGCTCTAATATTAGTAGTACTTTGATTATAAACATACCCATTACGAATGGCCAACTTGATAAAGCCCAATCGTTTTTTTAATATTAAATTATAATGACCAGGATGTGCGTTTAAACTCTCACCAGCCCCACCAACCACAATAACAATCGAACTGCCCGGACCAGCTTTCAATATATTTTCACACGATTGTCGTGACACTGACGCGCATCCTTGTGCCATTATGTAGTCGCGGTATAACGGGATATTGAAATTCGAGGCTAATGTCAATAAATGAAACTTGATTCCGGGAAATAATCCTGAGCAGTTGTTTGCTTCTGTGGCAAAATTTGTCCATGCTCCTACTGAAATAACACCGTGTGGATGATAACCTATTTTTATTTATTTAGAATTAATAAAAATGAATCATTAGAGACAATGATTAAATATTTATATATACACTCACCAAATACATAATTCTTTGTTGGATCTAAATCAGCTTGCTAATTTAACAAAAAAAAAGAAATTCACGTTTTTTTGAGAATTATCGCAAATTTTTTTCAACAGCATACATAACTAAAAAATAAGAAAACAACATACTTTAATCAACTTTATAGGAAAATATTCAGCATACCATTTCCAAAAGGACAGTCTTCGCATAAATTCTACGCGACGTCCACCATTTTCCGGCGCTATATCAAACAAAACAAACAGCAAATACGCAACGATAAAAGGCCACATGAACGGACTTGTGCACGCTAGAAAGAACACAAATAAGGTGACGGGTAAAGACGCGAGCCATATGAATACGACGGCAGTTTGTCTTCTTCGTACAAATGGTACATTTAACGGTGCTATTCGTGGTTTAGATAACGCCATAAGTTTGAAACCTAATCGAATTTATATGTATATGCGTTTTTTTATTATTATTAAAAATTGATAACTTTTATCGATATCGTTATGAAATTTAAACAAATATTTCGCGTCAATGAGGATAAGTGAATCTTTCTTATAATGATTTACAAAGTATAAGCGAAGCATATGAGATTTTCAATGTGTTAGCGAAAATAGTATCTTGAATAACGAAATAGGTAATCTTTATTATATCAAGAAGGATCATTTGTGCAGTCGTTATTGATGTCAATTTATGGTGCGTAACATCTATAATCAAACAATTTGTATAACTTCTATCTAGTCTCCCAATTTGGATAATATTTAAAATGTAAAGGCTTTACTTATTGTGCATGTAATACAAAGCACATGACAAATACATTTATACAATTATAGATTACAAGCTAACAAGTTTATATATATCCATTTTTGGGGGAAGCATCTATGTACACCCCAGTGTAACCTAAATATATATAAAATTCCAATATGGTTAGTGTGTTTTCGGAAAATT